ATTAAACGTTCGTCAAAAGCAGATACAAATTGTGACCTGTGGAGGGTCCACAAACAAAATTTGAACAGACGGACGGACGGACAGGGACAACAACATAATATATGAAAATGTGGGCGTATGCTAATATATACAGTAATCTATTCTCTTTGGTCATACATTAATTTGAGTTCAAAATGGCAATATGATTCCTTGACACAAATATAAACATTATTAGTTTGCTAATCAACCCCGGTACGTGTATATTATATTATTTAAGTCTGCCATTTATTTGCATTCCTTTCTAAACCCTTACGCATCCACTGATCAATGATCATCACCACTTCCCCCACTCACACCCCCTAACAACTCCCACAACCCCGTCTTATCACTTCCCCCCTATTATAATCCCTTTCGCACCTTCTGCCGTCCATGCTCTTTCAACCTTTCTTAGCAACTACGAACATTACCCATTTATACCAGACATACACTACTCCCCCAGTCACCTTACTCCCCTCAAATCGTACCCCCCCCCCCCGGTCCCCATCTTATTCCCGCCCTACACACTTTACGCTTTCCATTTTAACAGCCTGACCCATCCATCTTACCCCTCCTCCGTCCATCTTAAATCTACAGAACTACAACTTCACTAAACGTCAGCATGATCAACAATTGAGTTGATCCAAAGAAACTCTGCTTGATTTGAGACATGAAAATATCATCTGTTGATTATCTCTGTTCACGAATGTGAAAGGACAATATTGGTGTCAGTCATTATCACATATGTGATAGAACTAATTAAACACGTTCCAAATATAATTTTAACAGAGATCATTGCTACGATAGCTGAGTAATACATGTTTCCTGAATAGGAAGTGACGAACGCCAAAGGAAAACACGAGTCATACCTCTATATAACTGACTGATGTGACGAGTGATAACAGATACACGGCCGAATTTCTGCTCACTAATAATTCCTTCCAAGACCAAAAGTTGTTGTGTGAGACTGTGAGAGGATATCTGACAATTCATAAAAATAATTGGCTGCCACTAGATAAGAGAACACGAAAGAAAAACAGAAAAAGTCCGTGCATTACCATGTTTTTATAAGGTGTAGAATGAATATAAACAAGGGAATGTACGGACTGTTTCTATTTTTCTCGTGTTCTCTTATCTAATGACATTCTATTACTTTATTGAATTGTCAGGTATCATCTTACAGTCCTATATAACAACGTTTGGTCTTGGAAGGAATTATTAGTGAGCAGAAATTCGGCCGTGTATCTGTTATCACTCGTCACATCAGTCAGTTATATAGAGGGATGACTCGTGTTTTCCTCTGGCGTTCGTCACTTCCGATTTAGGAAACCTGTATTACTCAGCTATCGTAGCAATGATCTCTGTGTTAAAATTATATTTGGAATGTGTTTAACCAGATCTATCACATATTATGTGATAATGACTGGCACCAATATTGTCCTTTAACTGGTGACCCAGGCAGCAATGAATGCTTTTTTGACTAAACACAGTGACCAATACATAATAATATGGTTTTGTGACAATTGATATAACTCCAGTTTTTAATCTAAGTTGGATAATTTGCTTGTGTGCAAGTGATCTATCAGAAATTAAAAAAGATTGTATCTTTTTTCATGGAAGTCTGATTGTAGTGGGCTGATGGACAGATATAGCCCTCATCGTCTATAATATTCAGTAATATTTTGAATTGGGTACCAGTGGTGGTGTGAAATGCACATGATTTAGACTTTGAGATCAATTTTCTAAAAATGGGGTTTTTGTAGTTAGATCACTTCTCTATTTAATAATAGTTGCTCGAAATACCTGGGTGAGCTCTGACCAGTCTCGCTCAACACCCTCCTTTATAACCCTCTAATTTCTGCACGTCTTAGATTGAACTTAATTTCCCAATTATGGAATAGACCTCCCCATTTCTCAAGACCATGGGGGGAACATTACCTTATTTGGTCTACCAACCATAGGTCAACAATTTTTGAAAGAGCCAATATTGTCTTAAGGACCAAAGTGTTACATCACCGAGTTTGTTTGGGGCATTCAACAACATAATCATCTTGTCTCAAATCAGGACCAACCGAATTGCCCTGCCCGTCTCTTACCCTAAGCAGTAAATGATCATCATTTAACTCACCGAATTTATTTGCACATTCTACCATAAAATCATCGTGTCCGAAATCAGGACCAACAAAATTGTTGTCTCTACTCCATTTAGATGCGGATTAATCTGGTCTCAAAAGGTGTGACAGACAGACAAACAAACCAATTTTAATTCATCTGCCTGTATTTCTGGGTTGTCGGATCTAACTTTTGCATGAGAATTCCCGACCTCCTCAAAGTACCTGAAAATATTCACTTCCAAGCTAAAAAGCAACGAATCAGCCTTTATAAAACTCTGAAAAAGCCATTGATTGCACGGAAATATAGAAGACAATCTGTCTTTGATGTGTTAATTAAGTTAATTAATTTATATGCCTAGCTGGGATTAATGATAAAAAGCACAAGGTTCCTCTAAATGTAATGCAATCGTTGAATTAAATACGCTTCCTTCAAGGAAACGAACTTACTGATGTGGGCGTTGACTCTTAACCACCTTTGAAATTAGAATTTTGAAACTTATTTCTGCATCCACTGCATCTTTAAGACAAGGGTATATAAGCTACGAGGAAGGTATTTGCGTTCCTTAAAGGCACATTATGGGGGATTAAATAAAGAGTTGACAGTTCTCGCTAGAATAGTTAAAAAATAGATAACGTAAATAGAATATGCTGAAAATTTTAGTCAAATTGCTCCACTCTAAACCGAGATATTAGCTTTTATATTAGATATTAGGATAGCCTCGATCATCATTATTAAAGTCGGTACAATAAAAATCAAAGTCTCGATTATCAACTCTTACATTTAATCATCCTTCACAAAATGTATTCCAATCCGCTTAATATCGCAGGCTAGCGATGACATCTGGAGTTGATTATGGTCTGGATAAGTTAATTAATGTCTAATTAATAATTTAGATAACATTTCAGGCCTAAAGAAAGACCCGCAATAGGCAGACTTACCTCTTGCATAATGTCAGTAGCGGATTATCAGTGAGGCTGATGAGGCTGCAGCCTCAGGCCCAAAGATTTTGTAAAAAAAAATTTTTTTTAGACTTGTCTGATACGATTAAAAACGCATAGACAATGAATGTTAGGGGGGTGGGGTTTAGGCCCAACGGGAATCAACATAGGCCCTGACCCGAAATTAATTATGCCCACGCCATTTTAAATAGGCCCTATTGTTTGGAGATCTGATCTTATTTTTTAAACGTAGGCCGACAATGTACGTTAAATCCTTGTAAGTTTTCGGTGATGTCTTGCTTAATATATTGTATCCACGTGACGTCATTTATGGGCATATAAAGTTACATTACGTTTATAATGTTAGCAACTACCTTGGCTCTAACTTTAAAAACTAAATAGGCCGTCCAGCAACTGCCGCCTCAGGCCTTGGTGGAGCTTAATCCGCCACTGATAATGTATGTTTAATACATTTCATTTATCGCACTCGGACTTACTATATCGATTGATTAACGAGTGTTTTTCCTAAATCAATTAATATTGCGTTCTTGAGATTCTTTCGTCGATCTTTCCCAGGTTAACAACATTTCTTAATTTTATCTGAACAAATCTAAAAATTGGGAAATAAGAGCTATAATCCGTAGTGTAATTTGGAGGTTTTATTGCACTAATGTAAAAACGCCGGTACTTACGTAAGAGGTAGCACAACCCAAACTCATCGTGAACAGTTGCCACAATAGTCAACGTTTGTATAATATAATTTATATGATATACATCGTCTGAAACAATAAAATACTGTTTGGACATATTCAGAACGTCAATAAGATTTCTCGATTGTGACTGGTCGACGCCAGATTTGCGTGCATCGGTAACCCACCAGTCACAACCCCAAAAAATAATTTTGCCCTTACCAGTGTTCAAGACATGAACTTCCATATAATAATGCAGATGACAGTTGTCCAAGATGAGGATGTCATTTTAGCATAATAAAACGTTCCAAATTACTTTCCACTTAATGTCAGAAATATTTTGTGAACAACTAATCCAGTTTTTACGGTCTTTTATTATGCTTATTACAAAGCTATTACTGTTTGTCATTTCAGGCTCAATAAAGATAGATAACAGACGAAGTGAAAGATAAAGAATATTTAATAAAAAAGGGAAACAGACTAGGAGATTGATAAACAATGAAGAAGTGAATAAAAGTTATTATCGAGCGACTGGTTCGATTTCCCCGTTGAAATTGAGTGAAATAAGGATAGATGTGAACCTAATTAGTGTGAAGTATATTACCCGAATCGGCTTAGTCTGTGTAATTTATTGTATGATTTCGTTAAGACCGATGCTATACAGTTTAGCTTGGGTAAAATCAATATCAAATGGATTCCATTACGCACCGTTTTACATCATAAGGAAAGGTTTTACGGAATTCCAATGTTTTTTTTTCCTTTTTACAGTTTCCTTTGTTTTTTCATAAATAACTGCCGAAATATACATTAGCAAATGCTTTCAAACTCTATTTCGAATTTTTAAAAGTTCACGAGGAAGTTCACCGAACATATTAATGACAAGTAATTAAGAGATAATCTTTATCGCAGTGTGGACGTTAAACCCCATTTCTCTCTCTCTCTCTCTCTCTCTCTCTTATCGCAGTGTAATGTTAAGTAAATGATAGACCAATCGCTAGGCTAATTCCTTACTGCTCCCATAATTAGTTATCGTTGGGTATTCCTTCTGAAATAAGTAATCATTTGGATTTTAAAATTTATGTTTCTATTTAAGTCTGAATATTAAAGACACAATCTTTATTGAAAGATGATTTTTCTATTCTTGTTAACACTGACTAATGTTGGAACTACTGTCACGCGAAACGTTAACGTCGCTGTGCTCTTACCTTTTGATGACGACAGATTCTTCTCGCTGAAACAAATAGTCCCAGCCATTACTCTGGCGATAGACGAGATTAACAACCGAACGGATTTTTTGTTGAATAAAATGACTGTGAGATACGCTGATACTAAATGTGATATTGCTTATGGGATTAATCATGCTATAGAATTCTATATGAAGGGACAAGTTGACGCCTTTTTTGGTCCCGTCTGTGATTTTGCTGTGGCTCCCGTTGCAAGACAGGTGCAGTTTTGGAATCTCCCAATGATTTCTGGCGGAGCGATGGCTCGAGATTTTTTCGTCTACAAGGATACCACTTATGGCATGCTGACTCGCGTTGGTCCTGTAAATTTCCAAACGTTGTCCTTGATGTTTGGGAAAATTCTTAATCATTATAAATGGAATCGTTTGAAACTACTTTACGAGTCTTCTGGACAAGACTACATTGTGACTGGATTTTGTCACCTGTTAACCGAAGCACTACACTACGATCTTTTAACCGTTTATCCCCAGATTGAACAAGACTACTTCCGATTAGATGAAGGTGTAGATATGGATTACATCCTGGCGAGAGAAATTGGCCACCATTACTCACGTGAGTAATTCATTATTTATCCCCAATGTCAAATACAACTTCCCTTGATACAAGTTCAACATGCATGGCTTACTTTACACTATATATTTACAATAACACATAATTAAAGACATAATGGGCAAGTTCCATCTCTTAATGTAAAGAAAAGTAAAGAAGTTCAACGTTTTGCCAACAGACACACTTACTGTTTCTTTGTTGACCGGTCAGTCCGAAATATCTGACGTGACAGATGACGACCTGGAGAGAGCCATGTTTATTGGGAAAATCTGTCCACTGAATCCCGCGGAGTCATCTTACGTGCACGCCAATGTGTACACGGGGCCTTGTATTTTTCCCGTCCCATCCGAACAACTATAAGTAGTCCCTTGCCAGACCCCCGTTCTACACAACACTGGAGAACCCCGATGAACTTTCTCGGCCAACGTAGGGATCGAACACGGGACCTCCTGGTTAGCGAACCATCGTTAGTCATACTCAATGAGCCACCGTGCCACCAATCCCAACAAACATAAACATATTGATACATATTGTAAATCTAATTGAAATGCCGTTAACTTATATCTATATTATTCAAGTAGTTGGTATTGACAGACGTTTAGAACTGTAGACCCCAATCAATTGACTATAATTCGTAAGAAATGGGATAGGAGTCTTTACTTTCTAGATGTTGTGGGTATGTTGGGTACTAGAGGGATTACAACAAAACCCAATGTTTCTAGAACGATAGTGCCTTATCTTGTCGTCAATCCTAGACACATTCTTATCAGTTCCATTGGATCGGTTTTAGGTTAGACTACTGATGTTATCATGTTGCATGTTTATGTGTCGTGACTACAATTATATAAAAGTTACATGTTTTCCATATCCGGTTGCATTTGTTGCCATCCAACTGACATGCATATAACTTAGTGAATATATTCTTATAATTCAGTATATGCAGACAATGATAAGCTATCGGAGCTGGCTGAAAAGTTCTAGGATAGATCAATTGGGTAGAAAGTTTCCCACCAACAAATACAATTATTGAATGAATCTTGTCGTATTGTCTTCGTACCGGATCATCTTGTGGACCTATACATTGAAATCACCCAACGTGGACAAAACTGGCAAAAGGGCAGGCATCAAGTACCTGCAACTTTCGACGATGGTGCACCTTCCTTTTCTATAGTAAAAAAGTGTGCTGCGGAATTATGTTGTGGCAGAGAGGGACCCTTGACGATGACCCGTGTCCCGGAAGGCCGTCAACAGCAACCATTCAAGAAAACAATACCCTGGTGCATGACATGGTGATGGCTTGTCGACGATTGGCCACTTCACATGTTGCCAGTTTTGTGGACTTCTCTCATGAAAGGTTTGAGAACATTATCGCCAACGAGTTAGGAATGACACAAGTTTCTGAAAGATGGGTGCAAAAGCTCTTGACTGTGGATCAGAAACGTGTCAGATTACAGACGTCCTATGGCAATCTGTACCGTTTTGAAGCAGATCCGCATAATTTGATCCCGTCAGACCTCCACTTGTTTCCAAAAATGAAAAAGGAAATAGCCAGTCTTCGCTTTTCTAACGATGATGTTGTGGCACTATCTTGGTCACGGATCTCTAAACATGTAGATGTGATACTGGCCTCCACGTTGTGTATAAACTATTTCCAATGATCAATTGACTGTTATAATATCTACAGTCTGAGTTTAAGTTGTAGCAATCTTAGGGCTCAGACCTAGCAGCCGAAACACTACATTGTCTCCATCCCAGCCTCGAACCAGGGGCTGAGGGTACGCCCTAGGAACCCTGCATGACGTCGTTAGCCTGGCCTCAGCCTGTAAGCCGAGGCGGATAACGGTATCTCTCTATGAAGCCCACATGGTGTCTTCCCTAGGAACTCCAAATGCTGTCTCCACCCTCGCCTCTAAGCCGAGGAGGCTGTGAGTATGATGTTCCCCTAGGAACGCCGAATGATGTCGAAAGGAAATTTAACCTCGCTCTTTCTTATATAGAAAGTATAGCTGTGTCCGCTATTAGGGCGGGGTAATTACCATTTTTTGAGTAAGTGTTGCGTATGGAAACCGTTTGTACTAATTTGTGCAATGTGCAATTGATGGTGGCAGAAAATGTCTGTAAGCCAGTCTAAGAAACCTGAATCTTGCAAAATACCTACTTAGCCTATTTCTCGTTGTCACCCATTTGTTTACAACAGGTGACTATAGAAGAATAAACGCAAACCACCGACTTTGTACAGATCTTCACAAATAGGCTAAGCCTTTGTATATGTAACAGATAGGCTTGATCACTATCAAGTGTTGTTTTATATTCTTATATTGAATATAAACGTTTAGAATTGATCACCAAAGCGTATAACAGTAACCTAGTGCTTACTATATTCAATACGTAACATTTTTGATTGATCAGCTAGAGCGACGAGAAGGTCGCCGAAAAAGTCGCCGATATCGTAAAGTAATCGGCGCCTTTTTCGGCGACCTTTTCGTCGTGCTGGCTTAACGACGACTCTTGTGTTGTGAAAGTCGCGGGTCGCCTTTAAGTCAGTACGACGAAAAAGTCGACGATCGTCGCCTTTTTCGTCGTGCTGGCTAAACGGCGACTCTCGCTTTATTCTAGAAACACGACGATCTAAATGGACGCTTTCAGCCGCCATAGATAACTGCCATCATGCTGTTATAGAACTAAGCCCAGCTCAGCTACCCATACGTACTCTAAAACTACATTGACGCAACGTATCACGTGACGATACGGATACTTGATACGGATGGGAAAAATTCTACCTGCCGAAAGTCTCTAGTGAATGTGTTGTAGATATCGTATGTCATGTTTATATTTCGTGACAACATGTCATGTAATTTATACATGACCTACATCACATGTTACCAAATATATCAAGATAAACACTTAATACCTACTTTCAGGTAACATATGTTTGTCTCCCGATTGTTGGTCTACTTCCAGCCCTGTCTGAAATACCAGAACCCCACGCGTTAACCATTCGGCCACCCAACCGTCCTTTTGTTATAAATAATACCAAAACCTCATTAAGAAGGACTTTGTTATTAGGCCATATGGGACTAAAGACAGCATTAATGTTCAGATTAGCGCTATGTTTAAAATGATTCTAATGCCTACTATCTGCTTAACCGGACGACCCACCATGCGTTACCAAGACACAGACTTGAACCACTCAACAAGCATTAAGCTCAGGTCACAAATTACATGTGCGACATCATACATGGTTACTGGAAGAGAAGGTTGTCCTTAATCTTAAATTAGCATTCTCCTTTACGGGCTAACTCTTATGCTCGCTTAATACCAAAGGTTTAATTCTAGCCCGTCGAAAATTACCGAAATATATCGAGGAATGTCGATTGGGACGTTTAAACGGGGATGTCATTGCAGATGATGTAACATTAACCAGACCTTCCGTTTACATACTATGTCATCGTCATGGTGATTGACGACTATCAAAGATGGCAGTAATTTAATAAAATGCTCTCGGCTAAGGAATTAAATGTAAGGTTTTTACCTGATTGACGGCAGGCGGATTTAAAGGACAGTGTACGTCCACTAAGCGAATTTTGTCTCCGCGGGCGAGTGTCGTGATAATAATATAACACGCATCATGTATACAATGGCGGTGATAAACACAAGGTATTAGCGGTGAATGATATTTTGAATACCCATTTCCGTAATTTCCTGTTGCTATTGATGAATAATCCTTAATTCTAGTTGGTTAAATGTGTTTTTTACAGCGAAAATAATGTTGTTAAAAATTACAATAGATTTCCACTCCCGAGACGTTCGTTCCAACCTAACAAAACTACATCTTATTTAAACATTTATTATCCGCAATAAACGTACTTCAGAACCTGTTCCAGCAAAATCATAGATATAATATGGAAATATAATTGCAAGATGTTACAGCCCTCGGCATTGAACAACCTTAAAGTAGTTAAGTCTCTAACTCAATATTATCCAAAGTCTTACACGTTTGAAAACACGAATTATTTGTCAATTCAAATCAACATTGATGTTGTGATCTTACCGGGAAAAGGTAGGCTTCTGATATCCAATATTTAAGACAAATTAAGCATTTTACCATTGGTACACAAATCGTGTACCATAGTGCGTTTCAGCGTCATTTGTCAAACGGTGACGCCATATCTCATCTGGAGATCATGCACAATAGACTGGAATAACCAGACGCTAAAAATGGCCAGTCGGTTGAGACTCGAGTCGTATTTCGCTGGACATAACTGATTTGAAGGGAAACAATTGAATGTAAATCAGTTTATATACAATCAGTATACATTGTTATATGCGTTGCGACTCATTTGGGTCAATTTCAAGGTTCCAAATATTAGCGATTTAGCTCCTTTAAGTATTTCCTATGCTTCAAATGCCTCAAATTCAAAATACTGAGGTTTTGGAATTAGTGTTACGATTTTGTAGCTGCAAGTGTAAATTGACTGCACCATTATATGCCTACATATATATTTTTATATCATTCAAAATATAATCATGTCACGTATTTCAAAGTTGTTTTGTTATAAGAATAATACACAATCATTACTAAATATATACTAAGCAGCAAAAGAAACGTCAGGTTGGTATGTTACTCTGAATAGACGCATTACATAAAATTTGCCAACTGTTTTTATTGTATATTTGTGACCACATCTCCAACTTTACCTGACCAATAAGGCTCCTTCCCAAACACAGAACTGAACCCAGGAAATGTTCTCAAAACCGCAACCTGACTTCTGAGATGGTAATGTGTCCTCCTTAATTTTCATGTAATTCATGCTGCACATGCTGTTCACCGGGGCCAGCCCTATAAAATGCACCCCCACCCCAAGCCGTTGCCAATCACTTCCAGGTCAATGTTCGGACCATCTACAGGCTTCAGCAACGCTTTCGTGCCACCAACACGACGGATGATCACCCCCGAACTGGTAGACCAAGGGTTACCACAAGGCGACAAGACCCCATGTTGTCCGACAGCACGTGCAGAATCCCTTTACACACGTCAGACAGTGGGAACACACGGAAGACCCATCAGTACAGATACAGGGCGCCGACGTCTCACCAGAGCGACCATTCCGTGGACCGATCCTCACCCCTCGCCATCGACGTGAACGTCTACAGTTTGCCAAACAACACCAGAACTGGCGACACAGGGAATGGAGAACTGTTCTGTTCACAGAGGAGAGTCGGTATTGCAGATGGCAGGACCAGAATATGGCGTCGACGTGGCCAGCGTTATTCTGATCAATGTGTCATGGAACGAGACTTATGGGCAGGTCCAAGCATAATGGTTTGGAGTGGAATCGACCTGAACCAGAGAGTGGTTCCCGTGGTGTTCCAAAATATTGGTCTAGGGAGAGGAGGCGGCATCACAGCAGTGCGCTACATCGATCAAGCTCTCAGACGCCGCGTCATACCACATTTCGCACGTTACCCAAACAACGTTTTCCAGCATGACAACGCCAGTGCCCACACCGCCAGAGTTATTCGGGACTTTCTACATCAGAACGGTGTCAACGTTATGCACTGGCCAGGCCTTAGTCAGGACTTAAACCCGATTGAACATATTTGGAATGAAATTCAAAGAAGACTCAATAACGTCGTTTCGAGAGTGTGGTTCAAGGTGCCAATGGCGTTCATCAATCGTCTAATCCACCCCATGTACAGACGCTGCGCTGCTGTTATTGACATTCGCGGGTGACACACCAGATACTGATGTTAACACTGCGTACAGACTCTAAACCTTCACGTAATGTCTTGGAATTGTGATGAATTAATCCCTTTAATCACTAATGTGTCAACATTCTGTTCACAAAAAATTACTTTGATCCATTTAGTAAGTTGTTCTCTAGAATGATTTGATTCAAGTGCCTCTCTGATTTTGAAATCATACTGACGTTTTTTTTTTGCTGTTTAGTATAGTTAAATGTTTTATTTTTGAGCTGAAATTAGCCAATCTTGGATTTTAATGCCAAGAAAGTTGTTTATAGGTAATTAAGCACTTCCAAGTACGAGGAATAGGTGGGCTGGTACGAAGGAAAAAAATCATTTATCTATGACACACAAGGCAAGCTGTATCAATTGAATAGAAACTAATGTAAACTTGAAATGGCCATAACCTAAGTTAGAACAGATGGTTGAATAATGTTTGGACCACATTGCTTTTTAATTAAATTACTTTATATTGTTTATATTCTTGATCAGTACATCAAAATTTTCTTCTGGCATGTTGGACATTGACCTTACGATAAACAATTTGTGGCAATGCCAATTATCTGTTTCCTAATGTAATTACATTTATGAATAAATAAATAAATATATAATTAACGGAATATATATCGCTCTCACCTCCGAGCTAAACATGTAATACTATAAGAATCTGTTAAAATATACTGTTCTGTATTGAGGTCTAGACTGAACAGTTAAATTTGGGTTAATTAGGTAGCCTACAGCTAATCTGGGTCAGTGACTCAAAATGTCTGGTAATCTATATATTAGGCCATTGTTTGGCACCAATCCTCTGTCACTCCAGCCTCCGTTCCAATATCAGGACATCGTGTTTCAATCCAGGTTAGTGTCTATGTGCTCTTGCACAGCACCGGGACCAGAATTGAAACGGCATGAGTGTCCCTAGAGTATGCAGACTATCATGCAGATCCATAAGAGGTAGCTTTCACTCTTGTCAGCCTATAAAAGTGCCTGGAAAGTCAGTAGAAGACACCAAACCGGGTTCCCAAAGACACGTATATTTAGTAAGAAGCTTTTGTATTGGGATTACATTCTATTACTTGTGCTGTTTTACTGTATAATAGATTTTGTATTTGGGATGTTATAAGATATATAAGCCCAATCAAGAACAGTACGGTTGCCCTGAGATTTATTCATTAACTGAATATACAACGTGGAGTCAAATATCGAAGACTATATAGGAGGAAACTGATGCCAACATCTGATGCAAAGACCGGTTTATTTATGATGTATATATCTTAACTATATATCGCAACAAAATCACAAAACGAAATACGCATTTTGTCGCTAACCAATATAAACCGAAGAGAACCGAAAAATGAAAATGCGACCAGAATCTGGGTCCTCTAGTACCCCAACCCAGACTATAAACCCATCCTCGGTATCCCAAGTGTACTCATTCCGTTCTACTCCACTATACCCTGGGTTAATCCATAGGGTTTCCACTATTTCAAATTATCTGCCCTGACCTTGATTGTAGCCAGGTCTACGAAACAATCAAAAAACAGTTTACAAACCTGTCGTTTCGCCTTCGTTTTTATAAGGGTAGATAATCATATTCATGTCCATTTACTGAATGATTTATATAAATAATGTATATATTTCTAATTCATTTATATTTAATTGCATTTTCAAAATCTGTAGTATGTTTCGCTAATTGCAAATATGTATAACATCTATATGGTTGACTTTTGTTATTATTATTACTTTTTGTGTTTTGTCTGAAATGTTTCATTATGTTATGTTTATTATTATTGAACTTATACTTGGAAATTTGATTCACACTATCTTGTCTACGACGTAAAACTCCGCGAACGAAAGAACCAACGATTCTCAATAAAACGTTAACCTACATAAAAGTCCAGTCTTCATTAATATAATATTATATAATTTGTTGTTAATAAATACGCATTTAGAATAATTTGGACTTCTCTCATTTAGGCTAACTCCTAACCTTGTTCGATGAGAGTTACTTCTCTTTGCCAACTTCCTTTTCAATTAACGATTGATGCGATTGGTCGATAAAAATAGCACAATTATCAAAGGCGGATAACTTGAAAACATGTCTCCCCCATAGATTAATCCAGGGGTTAGTGGAGTAGAACGGAATGAAACCACTGGTGATACCGAGGAAGACTATAAACTTAGTTCCCTCTCCAGTTTGTACAATCAACACTTTCGATTATTTTACAGATGTCCCAACTGAATTAGTTTTAAAGGTTATATCATAAAATATATGGTTCTTTGTATAATAAAATATGTTACTAGTTAAAATTGTAAATAAGATTTCCCAGTCTATATTGTCTCGTTTTATACAATCAGTTGTATTCAAGAGGATTTAAACATAATATCGAATACGGACAATGGCACGATTACCCATAGGCTATTTTCCTCTGAATTGATAAAATATATTGGCAGATATATTTACTTTATTTACTGTCTTTCAAGTCCTTGATCCTTTGTTAGAGAGAGAGAGAGAGAGAGAGAGAGAGAGAGGGGGTAACGTTAACTTGACACAAACTAGGTCGTTTCGGGACTAACATATGGTTCAATTTTATTTCAATTATTCTCTTGCGCGTAGGGGTCTTTAGCAGTGGGAGGAAACCGGAGGACCCAGGGAAAATCCTCGAGGTTGGTCAAACCCGAACCTACTCGATGTCACGTACAAGCGGCGAATCGAAATCACGGCACTTGACTCAATGACAGACCTTATGATGCAAAACACACGCGTTAACCATTCGGCCACCCAACCTTCCTTTTGTTATAAATAATACCAAAACCTCATTAAGAATGACTTTCTTTTTACCATTCTTCTTTACGGGTTTATTCTTATACTCGCCTAATGCCAAATGTCTAATTCTAGCACGTCGAAACTGACCGAAATATATGTGTCGAATGGGATGTGAAACGGGGATGCCATTGCAGAGGATGTAAACATTAACCAGACCTTCAGTTTACATACTATGCAAATCGTCATGGTGACTTC